CCTGTTTGTTGCCCCTGTTGTTGGAATACATGTTGAAGTCATTTCAAAAATTGGAAAAGCATGTTTGAAGGCTGTCTCTGTTATTTTCATTGTTTGAAATGTTTGAAAGTAAGAAATGCATGTTGAAAAATATATGTATGAGCTAGAAATTATATTTGGGGTTCATATCTTACACCCCTTGCCGCCCCTCATCAGAATACATGAAGGAAATTTCGTTTATGAGTTGGAAAATTTTATTTGGTGCTCACACCTTACATTTCTTGCTGCCCCTCGATGAAAAATATGCTGGAAATCATTTTTAAAGTTGGAAAATTATATTTGGGGATTCATTTCATGCTCTCATTGATACCCCTTTTGCTGAAATATGTGTTCTAGAATGTTTTATGAGGTAAAAACATACGTTTGGAGCTTATTTCCTGCTTCCTATTTTGCCCCGTGTATTGGATTCGATTCGCCCCTTTTCTTGGGCTTGGTTGTGGCTTTATGACATCTGATTTTTGTGACCCTATTTTAGCCCATTTGGTGGGCTTGGTTTGAGCTCTTTTTGAAATCAAGTTTACATTGAAAATATTTTTTTTTTTGATTGGCTCCCCTTGTGCTGGGCTCGGTTTCTCTCTTTCTTTGCTTCGGTCTAAGTTTCCTTTTAATGATTTATATTGGCTGAAATCTTTTGTCGTTTTGGAATATTCCTTGGGTTTGACTTACCCATATGCTGGGCTCGGTTCGTCCCTTATGTTGGACTTGCTTTGGTCCCTTTTTTTGGTGATTTATGCTGGCTGAAATTCTTTATTGTTTTGGAACATTTCTTGGGCTCGGGTTGCCCTTTTTCTGGGCTTGTTTCGGGTATCCTTTGGTAACTTATATTAGCTGAGGTTTTGGAATGTTTCTTGAGCTTGGTTTGTTTTCGTAGTGGTCTAGGGTTGCCCCTTTTCCTGACTCGGCCCATAAGCTTGTTTGGGAGCTTTTAAACTGTTAAGTTTGTTGTAGCAAAATTGTAGGAAGTTGTTGTTGGCTGTAGGATGTTCAGAATTATTGTTTGGAGAAGTTTGGAAGCTTGAAAGTATCATTAATTGCTATAGTTAGTTATTTGGGTGTTGCAATTACTGTTTGCACTCAAGTAGCTGGTGATTGGGTTCATATAAATGTTGTTTGGTGGCGATTTGATGGCTGACTTTGTGGTGATTATGTTCCTTTTGTGAGCCTCACCCGTGGGCTCTCCGCTCTCTTATTACCTTAACCGCGAGCTTTCTATTCATTTAGCTGGATTTGATTTTTTTTGTTTTTGGGTTGTTGTTTTACCCGTGGGCTTTCCCCTCCCTTATTGTCTTACCTGTGAGCTTTTGATTAAAATTGAAGTTGAAGGACTTTGATAATTGTATGATTTTTAGAGGAACAGAAAGATACTCCCTATGGATTGTTCTCCTATATTTTATAAAATGTAGAAAGCTCTTGAAGTTTCATTTTGAGTTTGATATAAATTGAAGTCATATTGGGTTTGGAAATCCATTAAAGCGCCACTTGGAAATGATATCCTCCCCGGGATTGATCCGATCATTTTCCTTTTAACAAATTTAAATGTTTTAGACCGAAACATTCATGAGTTTTATTGATTTAATTTGGTTTTAAAAATGGATCGGTCTCATTTTCGTTTATTTTATTTTATT